TTTGTGGTTGCGTTTGCGATTGTGTTTGTGGCTGTGCTTGTGGTTGTATATTTGTGATGGTGTTTGTGGTTGTGCTTGTGTGTTTGTGATTGTGTTTGTGGTTGCGTGTTTGTGATTGTGTTGGTGGTCGTGTATTTGTGGTTGCGTGTTTGTCCACTTAAACCAAAAAACAAGACTTAACGGTGCCAGCACCCCCGCACCTTGTAGCCCTTGTCGACCAACGGCAACTTCACCAGCTTCCCCCACCTCCGGCGGCTCGGTGGTTCCAGCCGAGACCGCGCCGCGGCTCGGGCTGCGGCCGTCGGCTCGGCGTGCTTCGGCGGCGGCGGCGCCTGGGCACCGCTTGTCTGGCGGTCGAAGTTGGCGCTGCTTCGAGCGATGGAAAACCGTGGAGACAGGAAAGGAAAGGCAAGGAAAGGACCGGAGAGGAGAGGAGAGGAGAGGAGTCGGAGAGGAAGGAAGGAAGGAAGGAAGGAAGGACAGGCACAGTGACAGTGACGTCAAATCTAGAGACCCTCAGCTGACGAGGTGACAAAAGGGGGGGTGGGAAATGGAGACCGATTCCCATTTCAGAGCGTGTATATACTCAAATGGTGTGGTGATTCGAGGTCCATTTGATATGAAAAGAAACGCCCATAATATGCGGGGTGACCCACCAGGGATATTCACATGTGCCTTTGGATCTACGGTGTGTCTGCTCAGCTAGTGGGAGTTGCAAAACATATATATGAAAACAGTACTGCTGATGGATGAAAATCGCATACCTCAAGTACCACTAATTACGTGAATCAGGTATATTCTTGAGTGTCATTTCGGTGATTTCGATCATTTCATCCATCCGGAGCTCTTTTGGAAGGAAGTCTCCTTCACCATTGAGGCCTCTTTTCCGCCTTCGGCGGCTGGAACGCTGCCGCCTTCGGTGCCTTCCCGCTGAAGCACAATCCATTTTTCCAAGAGCACACGCTGCTTCTGCGAGAAGTCCTTGGCCAAGACATCGTTCCGGACACCGCGAGGAATCAGCTTCAGTAGCCTGAAGCTGTTTTGGGACGGAAACGGAAGGAAGGCACTGCACTGGTTGAAGTCCTTCTATATTCATCTGCACAAGTTGTGCCACTTTGGGGATCCGAAAAGCAACCAAATCGTCCACATCGACTGAGTGGCTCATAGAGCTTGCTCAAGAGCTTGTTCGAGATCTCCACCTCCTTCTTCGCTCCTTTAGACTTCGTCCCCGGCGCCGCCCTCTCCGCCGCGTGGCGCTTCGCCGCCTTCTTCGCCGCTCGTCCCGGGCGCGACGCGCTCGCGGGGCCACAGCCGCGAGCGCCCGCGCCCGGACGCGACGTCCGCCGGCGTTTTTCGTGGTCCAGGCGCTGGTCGTAGCGGCGCCGTGCTTCCGAGTCTGCCAGAGTTTCAAAAGCCTCACAACAGGGGACAACATGTCTGGTCAGTGCCCCCAAGGCCCAAACTTAAAGGAATTTAGGGCGGGTCAGTGAGCTTTGAGACTGTGAAATTGGAATACCACCGGCATCGCTCGACCCAAGACCAAGCTA